ACCAAAACCAGTCCCATCCTCCCTATTCACCCGATTTTGCCCTGAGTGACTTTTGTCTTTTGTTTCCCCAGATGAAAAAAGTCCTCAAAGCGAAATGTTTTGCTGATATGGAAGAGGTGAAGCAAAAAATGGCAGAAGTAGGCATCAAAAACTGCTTTGAGCAGTGAAAAAAGCACCTCGATAGGTGTACTGCATCAAACGGAGAGTACTTGGGAGGTGACTGAAGTTTAAACATATAAGAATAAATACATAATTTTAATAAATAATTTCAAACCCTTTTAGTTTGTTTTGCTACTAACTATAGCATATGTTTATTTTAAATAACTCAGCAAAAGCATAATTAATTCATCAACTTTGCAAAAAAAAACAAACAGTTCCCTCCCTGCCTTCCATATCTGAAAGTTCAGTTCACAAACTACCTAACTCTAGTCTAAATGAATGAATAATAAATATCCACTCTCTTTTGAGACTATTACAACCTGACCTTCAAATATCATGTTTTCCCATATATTCTGTTACACTTTACCTGTGATAACGCAATTATGGCTTTAAGTGTCTTTGTCTCAAAGTTCCCACAATTTTAAACGAAAGCCGGTAGTAATCAGTAGAGAAATTTCTTACTGCCGCAGTGCCACCTACTGGTAGACCATTACAGGAGCAAGCTATTTGGAGGTCAACTTTGACCCAAGGTTTTGGGGCATCCTTCTGAGCTTTGGTTTTACAAAGCCCCAACTTCACTGTCATTTTGAGAAGCTATCACTTCTCTTGACAGTGTCTAAGTCTCTTGCTGTGGCACAAAGTCAGCAAGTGAAAATGTCAAAAAAACATGCTCATATTCTTACTGTTACCTTAAATTGGCCCTGACTTCACCACTTTGATTTTCTCTGTCCTATAACTGTAGCAAGGGCTCCAGATTGTGTGGGCAAGGGTTTGGCTCTGGCGAAAATAACCTGGGGAGCTTCCAAAGATCCTGAAAAATGGAAAAAAAGATCCCTACTTAACACTATATTTCATCTTGGCCCAAAGGACAAGAGGTAAAATCTAAAACTAGGTTACGGGGATCACTGTCCTCCCAGATGCCGCCACCCCACTTCCTACCAAGCACCAAATCCATGGCCTCTCTTTTGCTTCCAAACAGTGTACGAGCAGGTAATCAACCCAAATTCTTACCCCTCTGGCTCTGGAGAGAGAAGGTTTGGGAGCAATACAGGGTATATTTAGAGCAAGTTTCTCAAGAGCTTTATTTATTTTTATTTTTAAGCGATTATACTCCAGATCCACCCAGGAGCTCCAACAACTGAATAACGCATGGTGAAAAGGCTAAGAATGTGATAATGAAAATAGGTCATTCCACTGAGAGCTGCCAGGCAAATAATTTCACTTGAGAGTTAAAGTGACTTCTAGATCCTTAGGGTTTAAGCTCCACTGGGCTCACTTTATATTAAAATACCTTCCTTTCTCTTGTTGTCTTAGACACAATAAAGTGGGCAGGCATAGTCATATTGCTGTGCTGCTGCTCATTCCCATGCAAACAGCACAAAGCCATGGGGCACTGCACCTGGGCCAGGAACAATCAACATTTCATAAAAACACTGTTTCTCCCTTCTAGTAAATTTATCACTGATTTTCACAAGGTGGCAAGTAAGGCCCCGTCCACCAACTACAGGCCCACAAGAACTTAAAAACAGAAGGGAAGAGGTGAGAGTTGGGCTCCAGGACTGGAAAGCTTAATGAGAAGTGCAGGGGCGGGGATGAGGGATGAAGGCTGTGGGCGTGGCTTCAGCGTCCTACAGTAATGGTAGTTGACATGATCCAACCAGCACAAGAGAAATGCCAGCTATCTAATCTGTCGCTCTCTGCTATTTCAGCTTGCCACCACCACTGCAGAACTCCAGAAGCAACACCGTGGTATAAAGAAGGGAAGCCAGCCACTGGTGCCGGGCCAGCGGTGCTCACTTGCATCCTCCTCAGATTTCCCAAATTGCTGACTCTACACTTGCCCTCCCACATCAGATTTTGAATATATAGCCTGAGGTAGGAAAATCAAGGAAAAGCAATATTCATGGAGCATTCCAGGCATTCTAACTCTTCTAGGAGCTTCCATATTCAGGACCTCATGTAATGCTCCTAAGAAAAGAAAGGCACTGGTCCATCATCAACAGGAAAGAACTCCGGGTGGCTTTTCAACAGGGCCCCGGGATGAACTATACTATCTCATTCAGACGTGCTGAGAAGCAAAGTCACACAGCTTCAAGTCAGACATACGCTACATTCAGGGACTCATTAATGCCATGTTTAACCAACTGAGTTACCTGGACTGATGAGTAAAGACCTTTGAAAGACAGTTTAGGGATTCCTGTAGAGATATAAGCTTCCCAAGTCTCAGGGAGAAGTGTAAGCTTTCAGAGTTATGATGGAGGTTCTTCTTGCAGGTTTAAAGGAAAATGTTGCTATTAGCAACCTAACGTTTTGGGGGAAAAAAAGTGTCCCTTTTCATAGAACACTTGCAACACAGAAAACACGTAGTTTGTAACTAAAACACTGATGTGCCAGGCAGTCACTTACTAACTATATAAATGACTAGGATAGACTTGGTTACTAATACTACGAAGGTAAACTGTTTATTGGGAAGTATAGGCAATGCCTGAGCCTTACTATATCATGCTTCTCGGTGCTTCTTCAACTAAGGATCGGGACCACCAGGAAAATCAGAGTTCAAGGAGTTTAGAAGCCCGGAGTCATTTGGTGACAAAGGCATAACATAACAGGCTACTTAAAAGAGGAAAGAAGAATCATCTGTTTGTCACGTTAATGTAGAAGTAAGAGAAAAAGTCAGTATTAGGAGCCAGGAAGAAGTACAACTTCTTGTTCTGTGGTGTTATGCTGATACCAGACTGAGCATGAGTGTCACAAAATCTTCTGAATAACTTCACCAAGAGGCAGAAAACACTAATTCAAGGTCAAGATGCTGCAAGTGTGACTCACCAACCTCTTAAATGTCCAGTTTGCTCAGCCAGAATGCAAGTGGAGCTCAACTCAATACTAATTTATCATCAGACATGCAGATGAAGGAGTCAGGGTTTCCCGGATCTCCTAGACTGGGTCAACTTCTCCAGCTTAGGCAAATTTGAAGAGCTGAAAATTTGAAGGGGCTCTAACAGCTGTATCTCATGGAAATCCTTCCAACTTTGCCACAATTCTCTGACCCATCCTTTCTCAATCCATAGCAATTTCAGGGAAAAATTTTACTTCCTTAAAAATAACTACCATGTCCTAGTAATTATTTTTACTATTAAGGGGGTTTAGCAGATACTCATCAAATATTTCTTGAGTTCAGGGCCAAAGATTTTCAGTGGAGAACACATCTTTGTTCTCTTATCTCAGTATTACCTGACCTGGGGGTAGTTACAGCGCCCTCGCATGTACACGGCCTCATTTAGTCCTCATAATAAGCCTAAGGGATATAAGTAATTATCTCCAGGACACAGTCAAGTAACTGGGCTTCTCGAAGATCTTATACTCAATTTAAGGTATGTTATGCCAACCTTCTCCCACCTCCACTCCTGCCTGAAGCTCCTAAGCGGCTCCTTACTGCTGTCAGGAAAACTACCAAGTTCATTGTGTGACTCATACACAGGCCCTGCCACCTCACAAGCTTTTCTCTGGCTACTCCCTGCTTATGCCCCTGTCCCTGCCACACTGATGCGTGGGGCTCATGGAACACGGCCCCAGGCTTCAGCTCGTGCTGTTCCCTCCTCCTGGAACTCCTCTAGCTCCACGCTGCCCCTCTCCTGGCTGACCTGTCCATAGCTGAGTCTCAGTATAGATGTTTCTTCTCCTAGAATGCCCGCTCCAGTTCCTAAAAACCTGGGCTTGACAGCTTGGGTTCAAACACTGCCCCATTTACTGGCAGTACGACTTGAGACAAGTTTGTTTCTTTTTTCTTTTTTGAGTCGGGGTCTCACTCTATCGTTCTGTTGCCCAGGCTGGAGTGAAGAGGCATAATCATGGCTCACTGCAGCCTCAACCTCCTGGGCTCAGAAGATCCTTTAACCTCAGCCTCCTGAGTAGCTGAGACTACAGGCATGTGCCACCATGCCTGGCTTATTTAATACACATTTCATAATCTGTCTGTGCCTTTATTTCATCATCCATAAATGGGAAATATCGTTCCTACATTATGTCTGCTTAGTGAACAAATGACATGTAAAGCATGCAGAACCATGCCTGACAAACAACAAATGCTCCGCTGGTGTCTACCTTGAGCACATTTCCTGCTGGCTTTCCTATCCCCTGGAGTCTGTAAGTGCCCTGAGAGTGGTGATTGTCTTGTTTATCTTACAAGGCCCTAGTGCCCGGCATGCTGCTAGCTCCACAATAAATATCTGTGGAACTGAATCGAAGTCTCTGATTACTTGTCAGTGCATTTACTAATTATTATTCATAGGAAACTGGCTCTGGACAACATTGCCTAAAGCAGCATATGCACCGACGCTGAAAGGTTCTGGGCTCTTCATATCAACCTGTTGGCAGACCATGACATCAGAACGACCAGACCCAGGGCACAGGGCAGTGCTCTCGCTCCATGTCTAACTTCCTAAAGCTCCTCAGCTTCCTGAACCTCAGTGTCCTCATGTGGAAGGGGATGAGATCTACCTCCCAGGGGGGTTGTGAGAACTAAGTGAGAGACATAACATGTAGAAAGACAATATAAATAGAAAAATATCAGTCACATACAGGGCATTTTTACCAAATGTTACAAATCTGAGAGCATTCAATAAGACTGGGAAGTTTCATTTATCCCAACCTAGTTCTAGAAAATGCCTATCCTAGGCTGTCAAGATTATTTTTAAAAGGAATGTAAAAAATGCCCATTTGCCAATGCTCTAAGAGCCTGGACGCTTCATTCTTGGAACTGGAACTCTCTTAGGGGCAGAAGAGGGTATGCCAAGCCCAGCACCTTCCCTGCCTCCACTGTGGGGAAGCTGGTGCCCACTCACCTGTGGAGCTGGTGATGGGCACAAAGGCTGCAGAGGGAAGGCTGCCCTGGAGTCCACTCAGCTGCCCGTCTGTGGAGGACCCTCTGAAACACAAAGGAGCATGGTCAGGCCTGCACCCGGAGAGGCAAGATCAGCGTAGGCCCTTCAGCGGCCTCACTGCCTGATCTTGGGGTTTCCTCTTGTGTGGCTCATTCCCCTGCTTCCTTCTAGACTTTGTTCAAATGTCATCTTACCAGAGAAGACAATGACCAACTCATACCATTCTTCTGAAGTATCACATTCTCCCCACTGCATGCAGTTTCAAGAAAGTACAGGCTTTGATCACTGTGTGTCTCCAGTTCCTGGAATAGTGCCTGACACTTAACAAGTACTCCATAAATAATTGTTTATTGAATGACTAAATTAAGTTCCCAGCATTGACTTAGATAAATCATGAGAAAACACTTTGTTTTTTGTGAGTTGGGTCTGACTCTGTTGCACAGGTTCAAGTGCAGTGACATGCTCACAGCTCACCACTGCCTCAATTTTCTGGGCTCAAGTGATCCCCTCACCTCAACTTCCTAAGTTGCTTTGACTACAGTTACACACAACCATGTCCAGCTAATTTTTTAATTTTTTTGTAGAGACGGGTCTCACTACATTGCCCAGGCTGGTCTCAAGCTTCTGTGATCCTCCCGCCTCAGCCTAGAAAACATACTTTTTAAAAACCAAGTTTCACATAGAACAGTAATTATCAACTGGGAAAGGGAGGAGAGACACAGTCCCATCCTCTGACCACAGGACATCCGGCAACTCAAGACATTTGTAGTTCACACAACCATGGGGTACTGCTGGCAGCTGGTGGGTGGAGGCCAGGGATGTCGCTAAGCATCCCACAGTGCACAGGGCAATGCCCCAACAAATAATTACCCAGTCCTATGATGCCAAGGTTGAGAAACTGTGACACAGCACCACCTCTCATGGCAACTTCTACAAGAGATAGGGCAGGGTATATTTGATTCTTTGGGCAGAGGCTCCCCAGCCATATGTCTCAGCTATTCTAGGACTTCTGTTCACACCCAAATTTACAAGAAAAAAAATTCTGGAATGAATCTGATGCCCTACAGACCACAAGTCTCCCTGTTATAGGCTCTCCCAGTTTTTTTGCTGTTGTTGTTTGGTTTTTCTGTTTGTTTGTTTTTGAGTCTGGGTCTTACTCTGTTGTCTAGACTAGAGTGCAGTAGCACAATCATGGCTCACCATAGCCTCGACCTCCTGGGCTCAAGAGATCCTCCTGCCTCAGCCTCATGAGTAACCAGGACTACAGGCATACACCACCACAACCCAGCTAAATTGTTTTTCCCGATTTTTTGTAGAGATGAGGTCTATGTTGCCTAAGTTGGTCTCGAGCTCCTGGGTTCAAGCAATCCCCCTGCCCCAGCCTCCCAAAGTGCGGGGATTTCAGATATGAGTCACTGCAGCCAGCCTATAATTCTTTCATTGCATTTACCAACATTTTAATTATGAAAGCATATAACCGGTTGCCTAGTATCCACCACCCTTGCTAGAATGTAAGACAAAGACTGTACTAATCTTATTCACTGCTGTATCCATAGCTCCTAATATTGCATTTTGCGTATATCAACTATTTAGTAAATATTTCCTGAAAGAATTTGACCCACGGTGTCCATAAATACATTTATTTGTTGGGCCCATCTACCCTGATTTTAGATGACATGGAAAAATGTTATCTGGGATATCAAAGCTTTCATGTGCTCAGGTCTTTGTTGTTGTTGAGCAACATCCAACCCACCCTTCCCACTCCTCTCCCAACACTAGTTTCCCATTCACTGATTCACAAGAAAACACTTATTATGCATTTCCTTTGCTCAGTGCTTGCAAGTAAACACATGATGCAAACTGTGTGATAAATGCTGAGGAGAAAAAGCGCTTGGTGTTCTCAGAGAAGGAGGTAGGGCACCTGATGTGGGTGGTGAGGACAGCAGTCAAGGATGGCCTCTCTGTGGAATAACATTTCAGTCGAGTCAGGAAGTTATGGGAAGCAGGCATTAGCCAAAAGTAGGAGCAGGAAAGAACTTTTCATGAAGAAACAGTATACATGACTCTGAGGCAGAAAGGGGCCTGGGATGTCCTAAGAACCTCTAAAGACCAGCGAAGAGAGTGGGGTGGGGGGTTGGGGACAGTGTTTCCCAAAATTCCTTGACAGGAGTCACCTGGGGTCACTTGTTCATCATACAGCCTTCCAGGCCCTTCCCGTGGAGATACTGGCTAGATGGGCTTGGGATAGGGCCCGAGAACCTAAGCTTTTCACAGCACCCATGTGATTCACATCAGCAATGGTGGCATAGAGACACTGGCCAGTAGGTAAAAGGTAGGTAGAATAAGGTGCACTTGGAGAGTTGGGCAGAGGCTTAAGTGTCCACGTGGTGCCCACACCCCAAAAAGAGACATGCCTCTCGAGGAAATACAGCCCAGTATCGATGCAAGGACCACTGTCTTACAGGAATTCCTGATGGCAAGCCACAATGTGGGCCCTAACCTCCTTCCCTCTTTCATGTTGACGACAAGGGAGCCTTGGGCAGGAAAGAGAGGAGCAGAGGTTTCTCCCTTTTCCCATAAGCTTCTTTGGAGAGTTACACTGGAAATGCTTCTGCATTTTCTGTCAGCCCCTATGGGACCTGAAGCCCAGACAAAGCATCTGTAGATGGTATTTGTTCCTCTAGGTCCAAGAGAAAAAGGAAAAATTCTGGAGGACCCAGGATAGGCTCTTAACAGATATTAAAATCTTTAGGCCATTGTACTTGCTGGAGGAGCATCTGAGTGGAGAAACGCCATGGGGCTGGTCTTAGTTCCACACCAGTGGTAAAAAAAGGGAAGCAGGCAACAAAATCTTGGGGTTGGTAGAAGAAACAGAGGCAGCAAACAGGGATCTGCCTGCGGGGGAAAAGGATCCCTGCCGGGTTCTGTGTCCTTAAACTCTAACTCTCCCTGTCCTTTCTGGTCACCTTCATAGGTTTTATCCCATTCCCACTCAAGATCCCCTCACCTTACGGCCCTGTGCCCAGTTCCACTCCACATCCATCCTCTTTCCGCCCATCAGCTCCCATCAAAGGCCTTGCAAGCTACCACTGACTCAGAATTTGGACATTTCTAAGGTATCCACTGTTGCTAGCACAGGGTCCCCATTCTCCCTGTCATGGAGAAATGTGTCCACAGCAATTCAAGTGGAAACTCTTGAGTGGATTTTTCCATGGAAATAGTGGTGCACAGAATGGTTCAGGTCTGTTAGTACCACTTTAAGCACGTTATGGGTAAATATGCTTTTGTTGTGATAACATCATTTCCTTGGGAAAATACACACTGACTTCTGGACAGCCCACTCCTAAATGGGAACTTCTGAAACACAGCTTGTCTAGAGCCAGTATGCTAATTTGCATTTGCCCTTGCAATGATTCTTCACTGCTTTCCTGGGAATATTTGTGTTTTAGAAAATATTTACGTAGGGAGGTATGTATGTGCTCTTTGGCCGTCTTTAGGTCAGTCACTATGATTTAACAACAGGATAACAGGATTCAGTAAGGTCATGAAGGTAAAGCCCATCCCAGCACAGTGACTAGTCTATACTAAAGACTGACTAAGCATTAATGATTATTAGTATTGTCATTTTTACTTAGGAATACTGATCAAACTCTCTGCATTCACTATAAGCCTATCTACATACAGAAATATCAAGTTGGATGACTCAATGACTCCAATAACAGAATGGAATATTAGTGCCAAAGTGCAGAACAACTACTGGCATTCACAACCTGGAAGTTAACAGCAATTTGCTATTAAAGTCAAAAGGTAATTGACAACCTACTGAAATCTCAGTCAAAATTACTCTTGAGATCCTTTAGGAAGAGAGGTCGCATTTGAGATTGACAAACTATCTCTTAATAAAGTTAATATATGCCAGTATCAGAATGATTTATTCAACTCTGCACCAGATGAGGAAGCTGGCTTGTATTAAGGAGCTGTGCTGTACACAAGGGGAGGACCCCCCCCAAAATGGAATTATTTTATGGAAGGCAGGTCGCCTGTAGCATAGGCTTCCCCAGCTAGGTCAGTGTTCCAGGAACCCACTAGCATCAGTGTACCAGCTAGTGGTGTTATGAGAGGCTGTGTTCATTCAGCTTCAGTGAAATTGTCTGGGAGATTTCATTCAACACGTTTGCCCATTTCATGATGGGTGATCTACAAGCACACCTGCCCACAATATACTGAGTGTTCAGCAGTTTTTGACCCCAAACGGCATGACCCCCATGCCCTACCCTCCCTATTCACCCAATCTCACCCTGAACAACTTTCTTTTTGTTTCTCTGGATGAAAAAAGTCCTCAAAGGAAAACGTTTTGCCGACGTGAAGAGGTGAAACAAAAAATGTCAGAAGCACTAAAAGGCATCAAAATTGACGAGTTCAAAAACTCTTTTGAGCAGTGGAAAAAGATTTTTGATAGGTGTATTGCATTAGACAAAGAGTACTTAGAAGGTGCCTGAAGCTTAAACATGTAAGAATACATTTTAAAAAGAAAGTTTTCGTAAATAAATTGTTTTGGGTTCCCCCTCATATAGTATGTACCTTTAAGTATGGAAAAAAACAGTGCAGTGGGATGCTCTTGCCATAAGAAAGGCCTGTGGGAACTTTGAATGAATGACTGAAACAACGTATCTCTCATCATATCCTCAGTGGAACATCCAATAAAACCAGTCACTTTCTTGAACTTAGAATTCTCTTTCTGCTTCTGGAATCTCAATTCTGTTCCATTGATCTATATGCCTGTTCCTGTACCAATACCA